TGGCTGGGAAGGATGCGAGCAAGGCACACTACTGGAGCTGGTGGTACCACCATATTTCTTGTCTGATGGTGACAGTGCAGTCACCTGTCCACCCCCACCCTTTTCACTAACCTCAAGCTCCAACTCTGTGAACCCCCCAAACTCCCCAAAGCATATGCAAGATCCCAGGCTAAACACTGTCATGCTTTGCTAAAGCTTGTTTGACTGGGGAACAGGAACTACATTGGGCCAGATATTCTGGCAGCTCTCTAGGCCCAGGCCAAGAAGTGACTGACCCCATGCCATTTTCAGCCAGGCAAAGTAATTTGTGACAATGGCTCTAACCTGCTAGCTGCCATTGTGAGAAAACAATCACACGTGTATCTTGTCTGGCACATGTCCTTAACCTGTTGCTGCAGTGGTTCATCATCATGTAACCTGACTTCCAGGAGGTCGTTTGTCAGGCCAGAAGGATTTGTGGTCACTTTCAGTGGTCATACCCAGCCATGGTTTGTCTGGAGGAAACATACATGTTTTGGGGTTTTGGTGCATTCTAGAAGGCAAATCAGAAAACATACAGAAACATCTAGGTGCCCACATTCCACTCTTGATATTGCTACAGGTAAACTTTGATGTCTAATTATGTAGAATTACCTAGTAATATAATAAAATACATTGTATTATAAAGTACACTTTTACACATCAGAAGTTGCATGTTAACATTCTATTGTTCAATTAACATATATTTGCATTTCTGATTTGAAACAAGTCGTAAGGTTTGATAAACAGGCATTACAAAGCTACATTCTACTCCTGGCAAATCTGTACAGACATCTGGAAAAAAAAAAAAATTAAATACTTTGTATAATCTGAAGATTGCATATTGAACTTAGATGTACCTTACTGTCTGATCCAAATGTATACTTGTTGTATCTTTTGCATCTATAGGATTGTACTAGCAGATCATATTTAAAATGATGTTTAGTAACCCCCGGCAGTCTGATAGATATCACCAGGTTTTCATCCCTTCATTAGTTCATGGTGTGCAATGTCAGTGAGCCCTTGTCTAGCGAGCACTTATTTAATTTCCCGGAATTATCACTGATTGCTCCATCTATTATCCCTTTCCTGGACTCCAGTTAAAACAGAACCACCAACCTCTAATGAAAGATGAACCAGGATTTGTTGCGATAAGTAGTAGCACATGATTTTATTGAAATACTCAAGTTAAAGTAATCCTGTAATAAGAGAAATATGGACCCTGCCATTTCTGACCTCCATCTGAAAATGTTAGTTGCTTGGCTGTCTCTGGCTTCAGTATTTTCTGAGTCACTGACGTGGAAAAAGCACAGAGTTTATGTTTCAGACAATGTTTCATGCTACACCCATTTTCTGAGGTGTGACATGAAAGATGGATACATCCCCAAACACCCCCACCCCCACTTATCTGAATTGTGGGGTCCTTTTCCCTGCAGGATGCTGTAAACTTTCCAATTTGGCCAGGATTGGTGAAGGGAGAGACTACATATTCCATCTGCCTCTGCAGACGGGCTTTTAGTCCATTCATACTTCCTCTCATCCCTTAGCTGAAAGTGTGTACTCCAGGAAGGAGCGGGGCTGGGAGGAAGGGTCTGCAGGAGCCAGAGCATTGCACCTGTGATCCACTGATTGCAGTTGAAATGCATTACAGTCTCAAATGCAAAACATATTATATATTTATATAATTTTTTTGGAAAAGGGGGACTTTGCATTTAAACAGTGGAGGTAAAATATGTGACTGAATGCTTACAGAAAGCACTGAAGCCATTGCATTAGCAAGACAACCAGAAAACCCACATTTTCAGAAGGAGAGTTTAGCAATGAAAGACTCCATATCCCAACAGGACAGCTATTAACAGTACCAGTTTCTTAAGAAACTAAGAGGAAGATGCTAAGAGAAAGATGCATTGACGACCTTCTTCTGAAACTGCTAATTACATGGCTGTTAAGGTAACTCTATGACTTCAATACTTTCAGAATTGGAACATGTATCTAGCATGTATAGTCAGAAGTCTGCATACTTGTTCCAGGTCAGTGACTGAACAATGTCTATATTTCTCTCGGTAGAGGTCTTATGATCTATGGATCTCTTGCACAAAACCATGTATTAGAATTTCTTTATCTATAAAGTCTCTCTTGAACCTCTTCATAGTTAGTAGATAAAAATAAAGATTTTGTGCTGGACTTTTCATGATATCTCTTATATTATACAAGTCCTATCCATAGCTCAGATTTAATCTTACTGCTTGGAGTGTAGTTGGAGCACATCATAGGTTATGGCTTTTCGGAGATCTGCCTCCTCGGCTTCCCGAGGTCTGCCAAGCAGCAAAGACATACCATGCTTCTGACACTTCTATCTGAAGTCTTATGGACCAGTAATCAATTAACAGGAGTAAAGTTTAACAACATTTCTTGTTCCAATAAAGTTAGGATGTGAAGTAGGAAGGAGCTAATCAGTGAATCTGAAGATGCAGATAACACTAACAAATCAGTCCCATGTAATTCATCTAACTCCATGGTACAACTTCATTTAATTAATAGCATATATATTATATTGTGGTATTTTTGCTATTTGAAAATAACATGGCTGAACTGGAACTGCCAATTTAAAATACATGAATACACACAGCATATACAGTAACTAAACTTGTGGAACATTGATTGAGTGTGGCAATATGAGCTGTTCTACCTTCACCTTCTTGAACATGTACTTTTATTTCAATGTGGACAGCCCAGAGCAAGCACAGTGTGCTGGACAGATGAGGTACAGCATACATCACAGCTGCCCAGTTATTTGTGAAACGTAGCTTAGTGTATAAACCTTTGTCCTGGTATTTGATTTTGTCATGGTATTTAATTCTCAGGGAAATAAAGACAACATTTTCCAGCTAAGTATTCAAAGACTTGCTAGCTTTTCTTCAGTGACACAGCCAGCCTTGGAAATCTGTAGCGTTTAAATGGGTGCATGACACAGGGTCTTAGAAACCTGTTAAAGTGCATTGGGTTTTTGATGGAAGGCTGTGTTTTGTGAAATAAGGCTGAGCACCTAGGAGCAGTATAATGCTTCTTTAAAGGATCATTCCTCTCAAAACTGATAATGCTGAGCTACAGGCAAATATTAAAAACAGCAATGGATGCAGGTATGTATGTATTTTTAGTGACATTAACTTTAAGTGCATCTAGTATTAGTACCTGAATTTAACTTGCTATCAGCCTCTTGTAATCCCCTGCACAGCAGCACTCAGACTGGGGTAACATTTGGGACAGATCAGGTGTGCTGCATTCACATGTGCTGACAAGAAATATACTGAAAGAAGGAGAGAGAACAGAGAGATAACCCATAAGTCTGTTGATTGCCCTTATCAGATAACCCATAAGTCTGCTGCTTGCCCTTCTCAGATAACCCATAAGCCTGTTGCTGCTCCTTCACTGTCCAATCTCTGGCCAGAAGGTGACCAGGCTATATTGTTTACCTGCAGCAGAGGAAAGTCAGCTCACTAGGCTAGCTGCGCTTTCTTACACAGCTTTGTAAATTTCAGGACTAGATGGATAGAAATACAAATTATTTGGCACATAAGAAAAATCTCTTATATGTACTTCAATTGTGTATTTAGCTGTGTGTCCCAAGTTCAGCTTTAAACCATCTGATAGTTTCTTATATGTCTCATGGAATGTATTAGTAATATCTCTGCACATTAGTTCCTGTGCCCCCCTGCTGTTGCCATTATGAGGGAGTTCCACTCTTCCTGATGGATTGTTAATGTATTTTATATCATGGAGAACTCTACAAGGGAAGCTGGAACATATAAAGGTGGACAGGAACATCAAGATCACCCAGGTAGAGAAGAACAGAAGCCGGAGTTGTGGCTGAAAGATCTTGCTGTTCAAGTATTATAAACTAAAATATCACTTTTGGGTGGACTAGCCATTTATTGTAGTGGGATTCAGACTAATCAGAACAATACACAAATTCAGCAAGAAAGTATGTCCCCACATATGTACAAGAGTGCTATAATTGTTACCCTCTATAGCCAGTACTAACATTCCTCTAAGTATAGTTTGGTGACATATTAGCAACTGCTATTTCTCGGTATAAGGGGGGCTTCAGAGAACACTATGAGCCCAGAAGCAAATTCAAGAATACTCAAGAGACCATTCTATGGTGCAATGGGAAGTTATTGCTTAAGTGAGGGCCCAATTATGTCTGAACCCATGCGACCAAGATAGATTGGCCAAAGCATCCTTATATGAAATGGCCATTTTTTTTATAAGGAAGATCAAAAAGAAATGATGATGTGCAATATACAGTAAAATTTAACAACCAATCAGATTTTATGAGAACCCTATAAGATTATTGTTGATTGGTTTCTAAACGTATCAAATTGCTCTTTACCTGACATTGGAGGAAAGTGTGATATGGAAGTATGAGATTACCGCCAAACAATTGTTATCACAAATAATCATTGCATTCACTTGTGTACTTGTATTGGTAGACAGTGCATGTTCATGCATTGGGTATGAATGTGCAAATGTCTTCAGTGCTGGCTTTACCTCAAGGGAAAATTCAACCTTGGCCAATATAAAAAGCCACCAGTACAGTATAACTGAAAAGAAGGGGTTATCTGCTGGTGCCCATTTGTATAACATTTATCAACCAATTCTTGCACACTTTTCTAGAACAGGTGAAATTCATTGTACGTCTATCGGTACACTTTGCCTACGCTCAGGGGACCTTTACGACCTATGCTATGCTATGCATTCTGCTGTAGAATACTTTCATAATGGATCATGTGATATGTGGCCTAGATTTTTACATAAGCATACTGACACGAATTGCGTTTGCAAATCACACATCAAATACAATGTCTTTTCAATAACTACTTAAAGCATAGTTCACATGTAGAGCTTGTCTTCAAGTCCAGAGGGTTCATTCCATACCCAAAAATAATACTTCAGTTACAGTTCATTGTAATGCATAACTTCTATCGTTTGTCAACTTGTCTGAGGGATCCAGTAGAAGGCATAGAATGAACATGCGGGGTGGATGAGGTTGGCAAAGGAGGTGAAAGAACCAAGTCCTGCGAGGGCTGTGTGTTGCCCCTGCACTGAGAATCATCTTTTATAAGATCTCCAGAAGACACCACAGAGTCTTGTTCTGGGTCACTTCCTCGTCCTTTCTTCTTGTCTTCTTCCTTCTTCCACTTCATTCTGCGATTCTGGAACCAGATCTTTATGTGTCTTTCGGTCAGGTTTAACATAACGGCCAACTCGACTCTTCGAGGTCTAGAGATGTACTTGTTAAAAAGGAACTCCTTTTCCAGCTCTAGGAGTTGAGCTCTTGTGTATGCTGTCCTCGTCCTCTTATTCTCTTCATGTTCCATCATGTAAGAACCTCCTGCAACAACAAGATCAACATAATATGAATGGTGAGTACTTAGCAATTTGAAAGTTTTACACCTTACAAAACTGAGACATGGCATCCTAATGTTTGAAATAACATTTTGTATACTGGAAGACTTCAAATCATGTCCATTTACATGACCAGAGTCAACCCAGGAGCCAAGAGACTCCTCCACAGGCACAACAACAATAGAGGCACCTGGATGCCCCTCAACCGAAGAGCTTGGACTTATTCTTTAGCTGATATGAAGTTATATTCCTTAATATCTCTAGTTTCTTAAAGTTCTATAATTATGTAAACCCCTAGGAATTTTTGGGGGTGCAATAAAGTTGAGTCTTCTCTTCTAAAAAGACAGAAATAGCAATTACGAGATAACTAATATGGATATAAACCATATGCATTGTGAACTGAAGCTGAACCCCAGATTCTATCAGGGCTCCATTATTTACATGGAACATATTAACAGAATTGGAAAGGACTGAGATGACCTAATGTGTATAGTTTTAGCCCTTTACTGTCCAACCACAAGGATAGCTGGGTCCTAGGCCAAGCTTTTTTGCTTAACTGTCGTACAGCCTGTAGAAATATCCAAGACCTGGCTGTACCATCTGGCAGGGATGCCCAGAATACAAGACTAACTCAACAGGTCAGGAGAGATAGGTAAAACAGTAGCATACACTATATTGTCAAAGGTATTGGGACACCCCTCCAAATCATTGGATTCAGGTGTTCCAATCACCTCCATGGCCACAGGTGTATAAAATCAAGCACCTAGTCATGCAGACGCTTCTACAAACATTTGTGAAAGAATGGGTCGCTCTCAGGAGCTCAGTGAATTCAAGCGTGGTACCGTGATAGGTTGCCATCTGTGCAATAAGTCCATCCGTGAAATGTTCTTGCTACTAAATATTCCACGGTCAACTTTTAGTGGTATTATAACAAAGTGGAAGCAACTGGCAACAACAGCAACTCAGCCACGAAGTGGTAGGTCACGTAAAATGACAGAGCCGGGTCTGCGCATGATGAAGTGCACAGTGCACAGAAGTTGCCAACTGTCTGCAGAGTCAATAGCTACAGACCTCCAAACTTCATGTGGCCTTCAGATTGGCACAACAACAGTGTGTAGAGAGCTTCATGGAATGGGTTTCCATGGCCAAGCAGCTGCATCCAAGCCTTACATCACCAAGTGCAAAGTAAAGCGGCGGATGCAGTGGTGTAAAGCACGCCGCCACTGCACTCTAGAGAAGTGGAGACGTGTTCTCTGGAGTGATGAATCACGTTTCTCTCTGGCAATCCGAGGGACGTGTCTGGATTTGTTCGTTGCCAGGAGAACGGTACTTGCCTGACTGCATTGTGCCAAGTGTAAAGTTTGGTGGAGGGGGGATTATGGTGTGGGGTTGCTTTTCAGGGGTTGGGCTTGGCCCCTTAGTTCCAGTGAAGCGAACTCTTAAGACATCAGCATACCAAGACATTTTAGACAATTTCATGCTCCCAACTTTGTGGGTACAGTTTGGGGATGGCCCCTTCCTGTTCCAACATGACTGTGCACCAGTGCACAAAGCAATGTCCATAAATACATGGATGAGCGAGTTTGGGGTGAAGGAACTTGACTGGCCTGCACAGAGTCCTGACCTCAACCCCATAGAACACCTTTGGGATGAATTAGAGCGGAGACAGCAAACCCGGCCTTCTCGTCCAACATCAGTGCCTGACCTCACAAATGTGTTTCTGGAAGAATGGTCAAACACTCCCATAGACACACTCCTAAGCCTCGTGGTAGCCTTCCCAGAAGAGTTGAAGCTGTTATAGCGGCAAAGGGTGGGCCAACTCAATATTAAACCCTACAGACTAAGACTGGGATGCCATTAAAGTTCATGTGCATGTAAAGGCAGTCATCCCCATATTTTTGGTAATATAGGGGTCTATTCACTAAGCTGCCGAAGGATCTAGCCGTAGCTTCGGCTGATCCTTCAGCTAGCTTCGGCCCCAGGACCCCTTCAGTTCAGTAGAACCGAAGGGCTGCTGTACGGGCTATTCACTATAGCCCGTACAGCTCCCGAAGTCGGCCTAGCGGGTGAGTCTAGCCAAAGGCATATGCCTCGGCTCGACTGAGCCGAGGTGAAAGCCGAAGCTGGCCGAGCGGCCGGCCGACAGCCTGCTTCTGGCAGCTGGGCGGAGCCAGCTGTCATTTTATGGCTGGCTCCGGCCACTTTCAGAGAGATCAGTGTCCCTGTTTACCAGCTAACCAGGGACGCTGTCATTACACACTGAGAGCGTCCTCTCCGTGTTCTCAGTGTGTAATGACAGATGGCGTTCCTGGTTACTGGGTAACCAGGAACGCCATCTGTCATTCCTCTCCCGGACTCTCTGGGAGTCTAATAGGCTCAAGGCCACCCGGGAGAGAAACACTTTCTCCCAGAAAGGTTCACTCTGCTCGATCGAGCAGAGTAAACCTTTCCCTGCTCTGTTTTTTTTGGACCCCCGGCCAATAGAAAACAGTTGGGCGGAGCTAGCTGTCACTGCTAGCTCCGCACAATCGTTTTCTAATCCTTTTTTTTCTACTTTTTAAACTATTTTTCTATTCTGCTCGGTTCCACAGAGGGACCGACCAGAACAGCCGAGCCGAATGCCGCTCAGCGGCATTTGGCTATTTACTCACTGCTGTTCGGCATCTATGAGAATAGACCGAACAGCAGCGAGTAGCCTGCCGGAGGTTCAGCTTAGCCAATCCAGATGTTGGATCGGCTGAGTCGAACTCCTTCTGCACTTCGGGTCGGCCGAACATGCAGAGCATGTTCGGCCGACCCGAAGCCACCCGATGTACGGTTGATTTCAGCCGATATACGGCTGGAATCAGCCGTACCAGCCTGGAGTCAATAGCCGGACAGGGTTCGGCTCACTTCGCTTGGGGTCGGTTAGTGACTTGGCTGCCTACGGCAGCTTAGTGAATAGACCCCATAGTGTATGGTGCATTTCTATGGAGCCTAATGTTTAGCTCTAATGTGGAGTCACTGACTATACTTACAATGGCTTGTGCATTTTAAGGACCTGATAAGTATGCCTGGACTGGCAAGTCTGGCAATTACTTGATGAACTGGCTTGCCTAAGATTTTTAGTGAATTAGTTGGAACTTGCCTGTAGTACCAATAATTAACTGTAGATGGTGCAATATGCAAAGTCAATCTTTTAAAAGAGGCCATGTAATAATGAAATATTCCTAAATGCCCAACTCAAACCAGAATATTTTTGTTTTAAATAGCATGGGAAAGTTCCATAGTTGTTTTTTTTTTAGGCCTGTGACTCCACTGGTTAGTTTTCAAATCACTGTGAATGTCTTAGTGACCCCTCTGTAACACCACAACAAGAAATGAAAGGATAAGACAGGAAGACAATAAAAACCTGAGTGAAGTTTGAATCTTTACCCACTGTATTAAATAGTATGTTTTTGCTGCCATCTCTGTCCCCACTGAAGAGATTTCTACCGACTTCCTGTTCCCCTGACTTCCGATCACTGGTAGAGGAGGTGAGAAGAAATCTCCAGAATGGGGCAAAAAGTGCAAAAATAAATAAAAACTGGCTGATGTTCCAACTCTTCCTTTATTATGTAAAAGAAAGGATTTGCCTGGATCTGGTTTTTAAAGTTTACCAAGGGAGAAAAAAATTGTATTGAGTGGGAAAATGTTGAAACTCTCTGTTTTTATTGCCATGCCCACCCTCACTGGGAGATTCAACACCTTTCTGTTTGTCCTCTTCACCATTTTTACTGGGAGAGGCTGTGATTAGAAATTCAAAATCGCCAACCAACACCTGAACCAGTGACAACTGTTTAAGCTTTCCCCTCACTTTGGGGAGGTTTCCACTTCCTGCTGTGTCTACTGGACAGGAAGAAGAGAACAAATTCCCAAGTGGACACAGATGGCAATAAAAAATAAAAAAAAAACTGACAGGAGTTTAACCCTGCCTGTGTTAAAAAAAACAACCCCATAGTATTCTATAAATCCAAAGTCATGGTTGCACTATGTATTACACATTTATTTGTTAAATATGGATATAAATTGTAAAAATGATGCATAAAACATTAGTTTAAAATGTATACACTAAAAAAATGTCAATATTCAGAGCAATTTATTCTCCCTTTAAAAAGAAAGGCAAAGGTCATGCAATAATCCTACATGCTCTGCAATGCAGATGAACTATTCCATTATACAACTACTGCATGTGTTCTGCAGATGGAATTGTTCTATGGACTCAGAACAATTCATTATATACATTCCTAGTTCCCATTGATGACAAATTTAGTGAACAACTACTAGATACTTTTCCATGCCTGTTGTTGACATGCCGGTACAACACAACTAGTGATCGCCACTAATCTAAAAACTACTACAAGCGGCAGAATTGGAGGTTCTTAGGCCCCTATCTGCCATGTTTTTGGTTATACTGCACTGGGGTAAGTGGTTTTAGGTGTGCTTTAATGTAATCACGGCTGTATTGTCTGCTGATAAGCACTCGGTAATGCAATTCAATTTATTCTGTTGCCAAATGACATAAAATATAGGACTTTAATTAGAAACTGGGACCCTATAGCACATTTGCTATACAGCTCCATAACTCTCCATCCTCCATCGCAATTCCTATTTCTGTACCATACCACTACAAATAGGGCCAAACCACAGGAGCAATTTTTCTTTCTTGCTACTGAGAGAATTAGTCATGAGTAAGTGCTGTGCTGTGCATACATTGCTGCAAACAGTGGTTGTGAGCAGGCCCTGATGGATATACAATTGCTTTCTAACTGGTCCCAAGGGTAGTCACAATGCTGTTGCTTTGACTTACCCCCATGAGTGCCTCTATATCTGTTTTAGTTTTGTATTGCTTTCTTGCCAGTAGCTCTGGTTCAGTTAAGCTGGGCTGACGGAGAGAAATCACTTGATTCCTCCATCTACGCTAAACAGTGTGGATAGAAGAATCTCCCCTGCTGGCTGTTGTACTGT